CACCCCGCCCCGCCAGCCGCTCCATACCTTGTTAGTACGCCATTATCGAGAGCAATCTGCCGCGGCGCGGAGTGCGCTGGCCGGCCCCAAGGCCCGCGCGGCCCGCACCGCGATGAAGCCGTTACACGCCATCATACACAACGCCATCAGGCCATCGGGGGCTAGGGCGGCGCGGCGTGGCCTGGCGTGTCGTGGCGTGGCGTGGAGTGGTGCGTTCTATAAGAAACGCGCCGCGCCGCCGTGCAGCGTCGGACTTTCATGTCTTGCTGTACGGTGCGTGGCCCTCCCCGCCCCGCCGCGGCGCCTCTCTGCACGACATGCAGCAGCGGCCCCCACAGCGCATTGCAGTACGCCGCCGCTCCGGCTGACGACCTCCCCTCTGGCCCACCTCTCGCCTGTCTATCATCACGCCTGTGCCTGTCCGTTCACACCTGACCCTTTCAACGTGCAGTGTCTTAACCTCAACCCTTTCATTTTCCCGCTTGCACATGCATAGCCTTCGAAAAAAAAAACAACGAAGAAAACGTGGATTTGCATGCATGGCATATGTTGTAATGCAACTCCGGGGTCTCGAGAGCGGGCCTGTTGTAGAGAAAATAGACAGGCCTATCTTAGGCGGGCGTTTCTCCGAAATACACGCCTTCACATGAGCTGGCTAGACAGCTACTGCTGCAGCGACGGCAGCTGCCTCTCGCGGACCTCGATCAGTTACACACACTCAGACGCGTGGCGGGCCCTGGGCTGACGGGGCTCGACGAACCAATCAGACACGCGGGCCGCGGGGCCCTGCTGCGGCTGCTGAAGGCTGGCTGCGGTCCAAAACGGACGGCTCGCGGGGCAAATTTCTATACATTACGGCACATACGCGCATATGTCCGCCTGCCCGTCTCTTTTCTCTCGTGCTATGCGTTTCGCCACACCACGCGCGGGGTATTCGAGCCCAGACCAGGGCCGCGTGGCGCAGCGCACGCAGCATCAGCATACCCGATCCCTGCAATAGGTCATGGCAATGCAGGGGTACAGTACATTTATAAACGCGGGTGCGACGTCACGGGTGACAGAGATAGAAAGAATGATATAAAATAGTGTGGCAAGAGTGTCACTACTACTTGTTAATAACAACAACATTGCGGTAACGGTGATTGCACCGGTAATGAAATGGTAAGGATGGTGATGACGTGTAGTCTGGCCGGTGCACATGTCGCGGCCGGCGCTGCGGTGCAGAGAGAACCATGAGGGTTGATCTCTCTGCTGCGGTGCGGCGACGCGACGCCCCAATGCACCCCTGCGGCTGTGCTTCGCTGTGCTTTGCTTTGCTCGCTTTGCTCGGCTCGACGGTCACTCCGCGGTCAGGTCCGCCGATTCCAACTCCAACCGCACGCCCGACCCCTACGCCAACGCTCCCCGCCGCCACGGCGCAGCAGCGCACGGCCCCCGCTGCTCTGCTCGCCGCCGCGTTAGATCGCTATCGTCCGTCATAGAGAACCGGTCACAACAATGTCCGCGGGCGGGCTCAACTCTCTCTCCCTCTCTCCCCCTTCGCGCCCATTAGTATACCGATTACAGCTCTGCAAACACGAGGCCTACTCCGCCCCTGCTGTTGGGCGAAAAAAAAAATGTGTCGTATGCTTTAAATTCAATTCATTATCCTCAGGCTCTGGGAAATAAGCCGAGCCGGAAATCCTTTACATGTAAAAGAAGGGAGGCCATTTTTTTCCAGCTGGGGACAGAAGTTGGCGGGCGGCGGGCGGGGCGTTCGAAGGAAAAAAAATTGG